AGGGTTTAGGGTTTAGGGCCCGGTGTTCAACAGCTTTCAATGTGCTCCGATATCGTAACGGTCGCTTCACAGTTGCCAGCCCAAGCGGCCACTGCACATCTTCAGGGCTTGGGGTTTAAGGGTCATGGGTCAAGATTTAGGGCTTCGGGCTCAAGCTCAGAGTTGAGGGTTCGGAGTTTAGGGTTTAGGCTTTAGGGTTTAGGGTTTAGGGTTTAGGGTTTAGGGTCTAGGGTTTAGGGTTTAGGGTTAAGGGTTTAGGTTTGAGGCTTGGGGGTTTCGGAGCATGACAAATCATAACGCGACTGCCGATCTGCCACAAGACTTGCCATACGCATCTATCGAAAACTGAAAAGTCTAGCCAAGTAGCTCGATTAACCCTAAACCCTAAACCCAAAACCGGTGGAAACGAGAGGATCACACCCGAACCCGAGACCCCAAACCTCGGTCGCTGCAACCGAAACCAATACCAGATATCGTAACAGGGGTATTTAGGGTTTAGGGTTTAGGGTTTAGGACTAACGTCAGACGGTCAAGACTATGCTTTTCTAGTTATGCTAACTTCAACATTTTGTGCCAAAGCCTCAAGCACAAACCGATTACAAGAGAAGCCTGCAAGCACGATCACTCAATTTAAAGACTAAAAGCTCTCTTGTTCAACAACCAGGCTCAAAAAAGTTCAAACTTTTTAGGATAGACCTAATATATAAAGCCAAAAAGTTTAAAGTTCTCCCATTGGCTATCTAAGAAAGGGATCCTCCACCGTGCCCGTCTTCTCGCTGAAGCGGTCGTAGACCTCCACCTGCTGCTGCGAGGCGTAGAAACCCGCCCCAGCTTGACCCTAACCTTAAGAACCCAAAATCCATTTTTTGTAGGTTCTTATTATAAACCCTAATATAGGATTTATAGGGACCCTACAAAAAAGTAGGTTTTGGGTTCTTAAGGTAAACACTGAACCTGACATCATCAATGCCAAAACGACTTCTCCCCTCCCCCCCCCACCTTACAACGAGAGTCTGAGGACTTGAAATAATGCAGTAACGTTCTCACTCTATAGCCTCAATCTGAGACAAAAAAGACTAGCACATGTCTTAACATAAATCACAACGGGAGAAGAGTAGATCCCAAGATATTACACAAAGAAAACGTCCCTAAACCTCTAGAATCCACCATGTGCGAAACTGCGCCCCCAGAGCTCCCCAGTCTGAAAACTTGAATCCTACCGTAAACCCCTAAACCCGCAGCCCCAAACCCTGCATGTTACGAGTGTGAGGTTTCGCCGGTCAGGCCTTTTGGAAGCATCGGTCGACAGTCTGCGTCTGGGACGCAGGCTCCTCCCAGGGCATTCGGGCCAAGGATTTAGAGTTTAGGGTTTAGGGTTTAAGGGTTTAGGGGTTTCGGGGTTCGGGGCTTGGGGTTTAGTGTTTAGAGATCAGCAGCTCCGGATCGAGCAGTCTCCAGTCGAGTTCGCCAGACCAACGTCGAAAAAGACACACCCACCCAGAGAATCCCAAAACATTAAGAAAAAAGTTATCGCTACATACAGCTTAGTTCTACACTTTCACTCCAGACGAACACCCTTTGCCATCTTACACAACAATCGAAGAATCCGCGAATTGTTTGTTTCAGAATCAGATCACTAGCGACATACTCTGGGCAGCGAGTGTCATGACTGTTTCATTTCCGGATTCAAGATCCTTCTAAGCCCTAAACCCTAAACCCTAAACCCTAAACCCTAAACCCTAAACCCTAAACTCTCCGACCAAGATGTTCGTAAGACCGAGAGCCAGGAATCCTAAGCCCCACATCCCGAAAGCCTGAACCCTAGACCCTCAGCCCTAAACCCTAAACCCTAAGCCCTAAACCGTGAACCCTGGACCCTCAGCCATCTCTGGTTCCCTGTTGGGGCTATACCTAAAATGATCATTTCTTAATCCTCATTGGGGTTTATGATAACTTAGGGCTATACTTAAATTGATCATTTGTTACTCCTGATTGGGTTTTATGATAGCAAAAAGAAAACCTTGCATCCAACAAGGACCCAGATATATCAAGGCTAAGCCAGAACCTCAAAAAAAACCGTTTAGGGTTTAGGGTTTAGGGTTTAGGGTTTAGGGAACCTCAAAGCCCTCAAACCCGTCCGGCACGCCCAGCAGCTGAAGAAAGGCATGGTCCTCACGGCTTCTAGGTTTCTGGGTTGAGGGTTTCGGGCTTAAGGCTTGGGGTTCAGGGTTTGGGCTTTAGGGTTTCGGGTCCCTAAACCCTAAACCCGAAACCCTAATTAGGGCTCTACGCTTTGGGCTTCGGCTTCGGTTTCGAAGTTCTGGCTCTTGGCTCTGGGGGCGGAGCTTTGAGGCAATCAGAGCCAACAAAAACCTTGGGCTGAAGGACTCAGGGCTTTAGGGTTTAGGGTTTTAGGGTTTTAGGATTCAGGGCTGAGGGCTTTCGGGCTTAGGCTTAGGGCTTTTGGCGTTGAGGAGAGGGCTTAAAGGCTTTATGGCTTCGGGCTTAGGGTTTAGGGGTTGGGGTGTGCGGCTTTACGTCTCCTCTCTTATGCTTGTTGCCTAAACCCCAAAACCTGCAATCCTGAACCCAAAAACCCTCAACTTTGAACTCATCTGGATAAGGTTCCTGGTTCCAAAAAGTTAAAATTCGGTTTGGTGTACATTATCGTATGATTTGATTCCGAATTCAACTCTCTAATGTCTAAACCCTAAACCCTCAAACCTAAACCCTTTCAACGCCTTAAACCCTCACCCCCCAACCCTACACCCTTCATCGCCCTCAATCCTAAACCCTATACGCTAAGCCCTCAACCCTCAACAGCACGGGCTTGCCGGCAGGGGTTTAGGAGTCCAACTTCAGGATTTGGGGTTTAGGACTTTGGGGGGTTCGGACATGCAGAAGTAGACTTCGGCTTCATGCGGTTGATGATATAAATCCTGCAATAACCCATAATGAGGAATATACCAGAATTCTCATAGTTTAAGGTGCTTAAGGTAATGGAGGACTTATACCATCAACAGTGTGTCATAGGGTGCTTCCAGAATCTTTTTTGAGCCTGACTCTGATTTATGGAGGCGTTTGGAAGGTTCTGATAGCGCGGGCGTCAATAAGTAGAACTGCATATCGGCATATGCTATAGCATAATTAATTACAAAAGACCGAGAAGGGGCACTCAGTACTGAAAAACCTTAAACCCTAAACCCTGAACTGTTCCTCACCTCCTCTCCTCACTCTTTTGCTTCTGGTCGGTAGTCGGCGTCCTACACCGCAAACATAAACTCAGCAACGTTCCGAAGGAGCCCAAATACCCACGTAACTTCAAATCTGAAGCTGAAACGACCCGAAACCCGAAACCCACAAACCCTGATACCCCAGAAACCCCAGAAATCCCAGAAACCCTCAACCCCCAAACCCTAAATCCTAAACCCTAAACCTCAAAATACCTAGCCCCTAAACCCTACCCCCTAAACCCCTAAAACCTTAAACCCTGAACCCCTAAATCCCAAAAACCCGAAACCCTACACCCCCTAAACGCCTTTAAAGCCGCTCCTGCACTGATCCAGCAGACTCCAGAGTCGCAGAAAGAGTCGCCAAAGGCAGCTGCGCATCTGCGATCTCCGGTACGCCCTGCAACTTAGATAGACTTGGACGTTCTATGTAGATATGCATATACCGTATATACCTGTATATGTATGTATGTATATATATATACATACATGTGTATATATATATACATACATACATATATATATATATATACACATATATATATATATACATATATATATACATATAAATATA